GTGGGACAAGTTTGCATAATGATCATATTTACTGCACATAGACTACAATGGGGTTCAGGCGCAAGATTTGGGGCTCACAGAATGTTTTAAAAACAGCATAGTGAACTTTAATCACTAAACATGACCCTACGTATCGTCAGGGTAACAAAGAGAGGAAGTTGTGTAAGGACAGGAAGTGATGTCACGTACAGGCAGGAAGTTCTAGCTGTGAGGTGATTGTGGAGGAAGTAGAGAGGAAGCATTGCTGGAACTGGAAGGTAACACACCGAGAGGAAGTGATGTGACATACATGAAGGAAGTGATGTCACGTACAGACAGGAAGTTCTGGCTGTGAGGTGATTGTGGCGGAAGTAGAGAGAAGGCATTGCTGGAACTGGGGGAGTAACACACCGAGAAGAAGTGTTGTCACATAGATGAAGGCCGTGATGTACAGACAGGAAGTGATGTCACATACAGACAGGAAGTTCTATCTGTGAGGTGATTCGGGAGGAAGTAGAGAGGAGACATTGCTGGAACTGGCAGCAGAGGAGGTAATACGATATCTGGTTTTATTTAATTTGTATTGATATACGAGGCCTGTAATATAATATAGAAACCGTCTGAGGTGGAGGAACTCCGCTCCGACATTATTCACCCCACTACAGTCCTCATAATTCTCAGATTATTGTCTGTCTACAGGGAGGAGTGGCCAGAATAGATCACATGTCCACATCAGTGAGGATGGACAAGTACCAAAGTCACATGACCAAGAGGATATTAGAGCTCACCCTGGAGATCATCTACCTGGTGACAGGAGAGGTGAGGAGGATTCTGGGAGGTCACATGACATCACTCTGATCTCTATTCATAAAACACAGACCTGACCGGAGGGGTGAGGAGGATTCTGGGAGGTCACATGACATCACTCTCATCTCTATTCATAACACACAGACCTGACCGGGGAGGTGAGGAGGATTCTGGGAGGTCACATGACAACACTCTGATCTCTATTCATAACACACAGACCTGACCGGAGAGGTGAGGAGGATTCTGGGATTCTAACACGATGTTCTTATTGGTTTCTCCATCCAGAGTTTTCCTCTTCTGAAGTCTGGTGATCATGTGACCATCACCGTGCCTCCATGTGACTCCCTAAAACCCGAGAGACCCAACATGCAGAAGGTTCTGGAAGCCACCAAGAAGATGATTGATCTGCTGATAGGAGAGGTGAGCGGTGCCGGGAATTCTGGGACATGATCCAGGAACAGGCAAGGGGCGTGTCTGGGTGGTGACGGGAGAGGTGGGCGGTGCCGGGGATTCTGGGACATGATCCAGGAACAGACAAGGGATGTGTCTGGGTGGTGACGGGAGAGGTGAGCGGTGCCGGGAATTCTGGGACATGATCCAGGAACAGACAAGGG